ATATATGTGTATTTTTTTATCGCAAATAGAACGTTTAAGTCGTTTACCTGCATTAACCGCAAAAACAAAAGTGGCTATTGTATTTTTATTCTAATGCATAGCACCAGGTTTTAGATCTGAGGCTACTCCGACTTTCCAGTTGAAGCAGGAGTTAAGAAGTATGTCTGATTCAACAAAATTACGCTTAGTATCCTTGCAATACACACTTTTGAATGTGCTTGGAGAATTTGGAATTACCGCTATTATAAAGCCATGTATTTAAAATAATCTCGCCTAGATCTAGCCTATTCCATATATTTAGCGTGGAGCATACGAATTGGGACAGACTTTGGCGGGCTGTTTATCGTAGCGGGCATGCGTCCATCCGCCATTCTTGGTGCCAAAAGAAAGCCAGTTCGTTTTTGGGGATAACAAGACTCAGTGAACACACGGTCTTAGAAACAACTGAAAAGGGAGGAGAATTAAGAAAATAAATGAGAGGGTCGCTATATTAAATCTATGTAATAATCACATTTATCGTCTACAAAAAAAAACCTAATGAAAATGTTCGATTTTAATGAAACAATAGGGATCACATTGCGTTCATGAAGGAAGAAATAAATCATCAACATGAAGGAATCAAGATTTTAAACATTGATCGGTCTATTAGGAGATCGCAAACTAAATTGAACCTGCACTTACTTATCTTAGAAAATTTAATTTTCCAACGTAAATCAAAAGTTTTTGTTAACAATGGCGCTATAATCAACCAGCAGCGATCCTGTTTGGTTTTTGCCGGGATCGTTCGTTATATCCATCCATATTTATATTTTTGATTATGCGCGCGTTCTTTAAACCCCTGCCCACGTTGAGCAGCATTCATCCAATTCAAAATGGCGACGCCCATTGACAGACTCGGCTGACTGCTTTGAGCTACTGTTACTGCCGCTAGCTCTGTTATCTATAGTCTTTCGGCTCTGTTACCGTGTGTTGATTAGCGTAGTATTTTAGTAATATAGGAAAAAGTCCATAGTAGTCATCTTTTGTCGCAGTATTTTCTGAGTGCACTAAAGCGATAACTGCGGGCTCGAAGGCTGGCTGAAAGCAGCAGGAAGGAAGGCGGTATGATGATGGTGGCTTCCGGGTGGAGTCCAAAAGCCGCTCGCTTCATGGGGCACTGTTAGTAACTGTGGTTGATTCTCTCCCCCCCCCCCTCGACAGTGAATTTTGTCGTTCTGAATTTCTTGTCCCTGTTAAATTTTGCGGGCGAAAAAATCGTTTACGAGGATTTCAAGCGGTCCCTTTTCATGTCTTCTATGCTCTGGCCAGTGCGTGAGTGCGTGTTCGAAATGAGTTACATTCTCGATGTAATAGCTATACCATTGTGATGTTAAAAGGAACGAAAACTACACTTTTCAATACGTCCCTGCCAAATAAGGGATTTTCTTCCTGCTTTATACGGCTTGTACGGCCCAGTCGTCAGTAAAAACGGGATTAAGATAGAGAAAAACGTAGACATTGGACCATGGGATTCTAGTACGTCAGCGACGGGAACCGGCAGGAAGATACCATAATATTGGTTATTTTTCTATGCACCTTATGGTACAAAACAATTTCGATTAAACGTCAAAATGGTTACCCTTTGTGGCTAGTAGAATTTAAAGTGGTGTGGGATGGCGGAAGTATAAAAGCTCCGGAAAACGTGTGGCGGATTTGTGATCCTTTTTCATAGATCTCTTTATACGTGTAATACTTTACACGCACATTAGAAAAGATTACGCTTGGACCCCTTAATGTTAGGATCGCCCGGAATATTTCAGTCTATCCGAAGGACAAAATAAGGCAGTAACGGGTAGTAGATTCTGCCAGTCTGCTGGAAAGCTGCTTTTACCGGTAAATATGCAAAGGCTGTGCTTTTACATTTGGTTTGTATGAAATTATTGTGCATGTCTTAAGGCAGTTGTGCAAAGGCTGATTTATGATTCAATCAAGTGCATATGATAAACAGCACTTATTCTACCAGGTATGCAACAAACATATTTTACCGTAATTGTTAACTTCATTTTTATAAGCTATAGTAAGCATCTTGTGTGTTTTCTCCTATCAAGTCTGAAACTTATAATAACCACATAAAGAACATCATAAAGACACTGGCTCTAAGGTGTCGGTGATTAGTTCATATAAAACTTTTTTTTGTCACATTAAAGGTATATTTTTTGTCTTTAGTCGGAGTGAATGTGGTGTGCGTATACGACTCCGATCCATTGATCCATTAAGAGATGTTATTTCCTTTTTAGATAGGTTAGGTTCTTCAATCTTCAACAACACTGAAGTCACATAATAACAAACAACAAAGATTACTTTTTTGGCCGTTCAGGCCCACGTAGAACTTTATTGCTCCAAGTATCCTCAGATTATAATTTTCAGATATTCATTAGCATTACCATATTGAGTGTGGCGTCCTCACTCCAACGAAGTTCAAGCTAAGACCTAATAGATTCAGTTGGTTATAATTATTATTACTGTGTTCTATTGAGAACAGCCTTTCGATCGGGCAGCTACTGCCCATTTTTTAAACATGTGGATGGATGTGTTTGATTCAGTAACCACAGAGACAAATTGGGATTCAAAATGTTACAACAAGAGGTATGGCTTGTTTAGATTCTAGGAACTGCTGCTCTGATGAAGCCTATTGTTGACACCCAGTAAATACGAACACGGGTGAATCGTATAACCGATGTATTACAATAATAAAAGCTCTTATTCGTATACTAAATTAGACCATAATAGGAGAATGGGAGCTACTTAAACATCTGTTAACAAAACTAATTTGCCGAAAGTTATTGAGTCTAAGTATGCGAACAAAACTCTTAATAGAGTTACCTGATTTTGGGTTTTTTTTTATCTTCGGTATCTTTATCCCGAATGGGCATTAAAGTTGGCCATGAATATTGCATAAGATGTAAGTATCATCATATATAAATCAAGTACGCTGAAAATGTTCGATATAAGATTGCTTTGGCTGTGCCGTGCTTTCAGCAATGACCGATCCCGCATCGATATTGTCTGCTTTAGAGGCGCTTCTTGAAGAATTCTTCTCACCGTCCTGTTCCAATGAAAGAAAGGTTTGTTGATTAATCTATGTATACATTGGCGAATAAAATTTGCAATTAATGCTGTTGCTAACAGTCGATAGCTAATAAATAGCTAATAAAGAATCATTTGTCACGTTTTATTTACACGCCCTGTTTGCAGCGCATCATTGAGGAGCAGTTAAATAACTTCTCGCGACAAAGCAATGCTTGTCAGCTCTGCGTGGCATTCCTTCATCAGACGCACAATGGATACGTACTGATGTTTTGCGTCAATCTCGTCGAAGGTATGTCTTCTTCTTAAAATTATTCGTTTTTTTATTACAGATTATTTGTTTACATCAAAATTATGTACCTAAAGCCTGGCGAGAGCATGTCCCATTTAATACGTTTTGCTTTTGTTACCACGTAGAGTTCTTTATTCCCCATATAACTTTTTTTCTAATTGGGTTTTAAAATAAAAGCTATTTGCTAACATCGGTAAAACGGATGTGCTTGATAAGCAACTTAGCGTTGAGAAATAATCGTATCAAGTGATGCTTATTTATGTACACGACTAACTAGATAATAAGACAGGCGTTTGTGCGTAACGAATCTAAAACGTGTCGCACGAACCCTGAACTATCGACTATTTTAAGAAGCAAAACTTAATCTAAGTGTACCAAAACAGGAAAATTCTAGAAAGCCAAGTGTTTGGCCTCTATAGTAATAGCAATATACAGCAACACGCTTAAATAACAAAGGAGCTTCCTGTAAATTAAGATAGAATTCAAAAAATGAAAATACGAGAAATGCAATAAAGCGATTGATACATTGAAAGCATCGAACATAATCGGTTAGTTGAAAAATTCTATGCTTACATATACATTTTTTTAATGTTTCTTAATATATAAAGTTGCATTTTGCTGAATTATTTTGAAAATGGTTTCTATATCCATGGATATAACACGATACTAGACTTTTCTTTCATGTATAGATCTGCGGGCGCGCGAATAAAGCCGAAACATTCAGTAGTATCGAAATCTTTTTCTGCTTCCTTTTCTGTTTATATAGTCATATTATAGCGATTACGGTATTACTGATCAAAATAAACAGTCATGATTAAAGTTTTGCATAAACTTTAAACCGAATCTACCATTCAACTTCTAAGTCCGTTAAAATAATTGTTTTTTGCCTACGTAACGCCGTGATATTCAGAATGTGATAGCTTTTTTTGTAGTCACGATAGCAGTACCTATTTTTTTCCATTTTGTAGGTGTAGTTCAGCGTTCATGGCTACGTATGATGTCTGACGAGAAGTCGCAGGTGCGTAAGAATGTCTCCGAACTTCTCGTTCGATCTATTACTGGAACTTCATCATCGCTGGCGGTAGGAGCGGTCAGTGGGGGACCTACAACTGGCGGACTTCCAGCGTTGCCAGTTTTCGTTCGAAACAAACTTTGCAAGCTGATGGTGGACATTGGTCGCTTTGACTGGCCACACTTCTATCCAGACTTCTTTAACTACATTTTCCAGGTAAATTGATGAAGGACGTGAAAATTCCATTAATGTGAATGTAGTGGAAATTGTGACATTGAATGAAAAATATATCGAGCGATTAGTGCCGAAAAATCGCGAAGTATTATTTTCGTAGCACAGGTAAAAGGAGTAAATAATAGGTAATAACAAGAGATTCAGGTACACAAATGAGCTCTAAAAGAGCGACAAACGTAGAAAGAGACAAGACAGATTAAATATCGAATAAATATAGGAGGATAAAACAAAAATAATAAGAACAAAAAGTAGAAAATATTTAGAAACTAGAAATAGACTTATATAACACAAGTTTCGAGTCGACTTATATAATTGATTAATATTTGAAACCTGCGTCTTACTATGGTGTCCTAACGTAGCGTAAGCGTCTCCGTGTTAGCAGCTTGATAAGACTTTTGCTCATAGGCAGATATACCATCGTATCTGCTCTTAAGATGGGATGCTGGAATCAAACGTGTTTCAGCATAATCCGTGCCTTTCGCTACGTAGCTGAAAAGCGACCATAGTAAGTAAATGCAAAAAACTCCATACCTGGCTATATTCTCTCGTGAAAATTTCAGATGATTCAAAGCCCACCAACGCGTCTGATTGGCATTATCATGCTTCGAACCGCGTCGGAAGAATTCGCATCACCAAAGGTAAATGGACATCCATTTACATTGCTAACAAAGCCCAACATGAAATGTATTGTAACTCGCTTCTACAGGCAGCTTCACTGCTATTTGCAGTTGTTATTAATTGAAAAAGTGTGAGCAGTTTTGAATAATTCTAACGCACGCTCGTCTACGTACATTTATAATTGTATGTCAAGATGACTATTTTTATGACTGGGTTCTATTTATCGTTAAGCGGATACAATTATAAACCTACTATCAATATCAATATATAGAAGGCTATATAGTGCGCTATGGTCAATGTTCTAGTACCAAAATTCTTACGGACTTCGTTCGCATTTATAGGATGATCTCTGTGCTTCACGGAAAAAAGAATTGCGACATTTGCTCAACAATATTGTACCTCAGATGCTCACTGCAGTAACAGGCGAGTGTGACTATGAATTTTCTACAGGCTCCGATATTTTAAATTTGCTGCCCAAAGCACGGTCGGTTCTTGGTCCGATTATATAATACCTAAACTAGTTATAGATATAGGCGTGTTTTTGTACATTTTCATTAGCGATAATAACATTATGAACAAATTTTTCTCATGCATGATTGGTAGGGGTGCTAGATGGAATTTTGGTGTCTTGTCAGCGAACGTCGTCAACACCGCCTTCGTCCCCATTGCACCATTCCCAGCAGCAAACCCAACAGCAAGTTAGTATATTGAGACTTCATTGTCTAGCCTCACTGATATCTGGGCGTGGAAGAATAGGTATCTGTCTGCATTGTCATTAGATTCGACTGCTAGGTCCCACGCGAAAGTATATGTACGCGGATGTATATTGTATCATCAAAATGTATATAGAAAAAGACGTATCTTTTTCTTCTGATTTTTAATAACGTTTATGTTTGTATTATAGAACGGCATCTCAGGAATACGAGATTCTGTCGAAGGTTTTCAGTTTTCGACTGGAAGACTGTTAAATCCACATCAACCACTAGATCCTGAGTCGCGGGAAATAGCGCTCGCCTGTCTTGCCACGCTCGAACACCTAACGAGGTTAACATGACTACTTTAAATCTTGTTTTTCCGGGTTGAAAGTAATTTTTCATTTTCGTAGTCCAGGCATAATGAAAAAAAGATACTTACACCAATTGTTTCGTCTTTGCAAATCCCGCGAACCGCGTTTCGTCTAAATTGTTGGAAATGGTGCGCGTTTCAGTTGGGTATCAGTCGGCAGCAACTTCGGGCCGTCGATGCTCCGCACGCTGTTTGCATTCATTGCGCTCGGCTGTGGGGACCGTGGCGACCTCAATGCAGAAGTAAGTACTTCGAATGACAATACACTGTGGTTTTAGAGGAAAGTTAATTTTTGTTGTTGTTGTTGGTTTGTGTGAAAAATAGAAACATGAAGTTTAGCTTTACGTGTACATTTTAAAAATTTCTGTTCATTCACTAAATGCTGTGCTTCTTAGTACATACCCCTGCTTAGCTGTATTCTTTTTGGCACTATTTTACGGAATGGGTGAACATTTACTATAACAAATGTGACTTTTTTTCTCCCCTCCACGTAGGTGGCTATAGCGGCGATTGGAGTAGTAAACGAACTTACCTATAAAAAGTGTTTCACGCAAAAAGATACGCAAGCCTGTCTTGCTATCGTTTTCCAGGTAACTCATATTGTTCGAACCTTTCGAACATGTCTGTTTATAATTTATAACTTCAAGTAAGCAAATAGAAATTCGCTTAACGTTTTCTAGACGCTAGCAGTTAAATATAATTTTGTCGGTGCTAACCCATTAACGGCCACAGCCTATTATGCTTAGTCAAAGTGGTAATAATGCGCTAGATGTGTCTGCTTGCAGGACACATTGGAAACGCTACAATTGGTGACATCGGGAAATGTCGACTGTTCATCAACTTCGCTACGACTCCAAAGTCTCAATGAGTGCCTTGTGGGAAAACTAGCCGAGTTAATTCATATCCTTCTTGATAACCATTTAGCGAGGTTTCCTGATGAGCAACCTTGCGAGGACGCTATTCAGCACTTTCTTCAATTGGCACAGGTACAGAGCACATTTAGTTCTAGAATATTCCGCTACTGCTTTAATATAATTTTATGATACTTTATATGGAGTGGTTTCTCAATTGACTAGTTACACAGTGGCTACCATATTTCTAGAGTTTCCGTAGCTTTTCATCTAAATATAGATATTTGTGGTAGGTCATAGAATTGAGGTAGAATTTTATCTTAGTGCCTATAATATGAACGTATTTGCAGGTGTTCACTTTTGGAATCGGATCGCCGGTGAGGTACCAAAGCTCCTTGGATACATGGCTTTCGTTTCTTGAACTGGTAGAAAGCTCAAGAAAAGCCACGAAATTCAAACATCTTTTGGCAAAAATATTACATGAGGTATGTGTACTGTAATACCCTCGAGTTTTAGTGTTGCGTACATGTCATATATTTGTGCGAGCACTGCTGTACGGTAAACTTGGTATTTGTTGTAAATATTAAAGAACATTGGTTTAATCGGGTACCAAGAGATAGTTTAGAAGAAAAGTGTCCAACATATGTGTCCAAGAAGTCTAATTGTAAGTACCTATTTTCTAATCTTGTTCAACTATTGCTGACTTTGTGGATTTTACAGACGTTGGATAAATTGATGTCAGAACGCCACCGAGCCCTTCTAGAAATCCCTTGGGGACCATCAAGTTCGAATAAGGAAGATTCAGAGTGGGAAGCATATCTTTCAAAAAGTCTACAAATTGTGACCAAGGTAAATAGGATCTTCGAATATAATTGGTGATGGTTGCATTCTCACAACAAGACAATGTTACTCTCGCATATTGCTGATGCGTAGCTCCGACACAATCAGAATTCCTGCACAATCAGAAATCCTACACTTTTCGCTGAAATTTTCTAATAGGTAAGGCAAGACTTGAAAACAATAGTTGTATGTAGTTATTTAGACGTAACCTGCTTAACTAGAAGTCTAATTTCTGTGTTTCTCAGATCTCCGACATTGAATTGGAGGAGACGTGCGGGCAGATTTTACCTGTTTGGGAACGAGCAGTGGTGTCTTTCGAAGCGGGGAATTGTTCTCCAGCCTCGTTACGTGATTTGGCCAGTTTTAGTAGAACGGTTGGTTGCCTTTCGGCAGCTTTGGGTGCTCCTGCCCTCAAGGACACGAATCATGTAGCGCAGGTTAGCTTACATTGAACCCGTAGCTATGAGCTGAGTGCCTTGCTTGTCTCATTTTGAGGGCTGTTCTCGCATCGTTATTTGCATTTACTCGTAGTTTATTATCAATAAGTGCCATGTAACTTAATGCAAAAAAAATTATTTCAGTGTCGTCCTGTAGCTTCTACTGCAGTGTAGTGTCACCTGCCAGTTTACGTATTTAAGTTTTCAAAATAACTTCTAAATGTTTATAGGTGAGAATTATTGAAAAAAAATTGAGTTTCTTTTTCTTGTAGAGTTTTCTTCTAAGCGAAACCAGCTAACAAAAAATAATTCAAATTGTGTCTTTGCCCAGGTAAGGGCATACGATGCAAGCGTCATTCGCTCGGTATTCGGAGTATAAAAAATATTTTTGCTAGGATCATATATATGATCTTAGTAATTTTTTTATACCCAAAAAATATCGCATAAATCGTGGTGATTATTATTGGATGTGTTTAGTACATGCACCATACCACTTACAATTCGTTGTTTTTGAACGGCTTCTTGACATGGTTGTCCTGCAATTTTGTTTTGTCAAATAATGATAGAAACACTATTATGTTTTACTATGTGCTAACTAAAGCAGATCTTGAAAATGGATCAAGCGGTAAAAATTTAGTTTCTGATATACGAATAACACGTTCCGAGCCGGGTAGAGTCAATGTATAGCTACTTTGAGATCTTGCTTTTAGTGTTGTGACGCCAATATTGCGAATTAATAAATGCACTCAATAATGGTAATAATAACCATGATCATCACCACAGTCATTTGCCTTCAGTCAATGACGAAAAAAAACCATAGGATAAGTTGCCTTGCAAAGGCTGGATAGAAACTGTCTAATAGAAGGGAGATCTTTAAAGTTTAATAGGCGAATCATGAGTAGAGCGAGAATACACATTGGGGTAGGAAAAAACTCTGAGCAACGTTAAGTCTCATACTAAACCAAAACAATGTGGTTGGTTTTTCGGCCTATATTCTCAAAGTATCTTATAGCTTTCGGTTCTGGGCTCTTTTGAACGCTACTACAGAAGGCGCATTTGGTCTTGGAGCTTCAGTATGTTGGCCTCTGGCATTGTGGGCATACGGCAACATTTTGCCTTTCCTAGAAGACCGTTCTTCTTTCGAAACTAGGTTTTTAAAGATCTGATGTCCCCCGTTGTAGCTATCACCGTCTAGCTATAACTTCACCCATTACTAGGTCCATGTGGTGATGTTTATAAATACGGGAGAAATGAAAAATTAATTAGGCAGACGCAGTAATGGTGACAAATAGTGATAATCGAGCGCACTGTATTCAGCAAATATATTGTGAGCTGCTTTAGGACTACGAAATCGAGATGAGATCATTTTAGCAAAGTTGTGAATTTTCTATCTAGTCGCATATAGGGTAGTGAATGGAAAGCATAAAATAAGTAAAGGCAGCACTAAATGAGTGCTGCCTAAGCTACTGACAGGGTAATATCTAAGAATTATTTAAGAAATTCTAGGTATGTATAAACGGGCGGTAATAGTTCTCGAACGCATAATGAAAGGTTAGCTAGCATTGTGGCGCGTAACTACAACCTGAGGTTCTTAGATACCGCTGCCGTCTGATTGAAAATGTACAATAGTTAAGCCAACTGAAGAATGTTGGATCACATGGAGGAATTGATGGGGTGCTTCTGGAGTAGGAAAAAGACTGTTTCATTCTCTATTGTAACTTAAAGTAACAGAAGAGAGCCAACGAAATACATAGGATTGTAGAGAATAAACAAGATATGATATTACAATAAGTAATGAACAACAAATTAGAAACAGTAAAAAGGGAAAGTTTCAAACGGTGGTGAGCTAAGACCATAGTCTGATTATTATCTAATAGCGTTTCATCCTATTGTGAGCATTGTAATATCGTTGCTGTTAACTCAACCGCACGAACTAGTGACCTGGTACTTAAATGAAGACATCACGTTATTATTATTACGTATGTTGAGTTGCCACAGTCACTGGGCCCAGGTACTGCTTATTTGTATCAAATTAGGAAAGTTCGAATAGAAACGCAGCACTGTCAAGTAAACTTGAAAGAAAGTAAACCTTTTTAAAAATGTGTCCCCATGAACTTGCGATTCGATATCGAGAGGTGAGCAGCCAATAATAAACTAAGCAGCGATTTGAACGTTAAGCTAATTAAAACTAGAAACTTAAACTTGCGGAAAACATACATTTGTGGTCAATCTCCTATCTACGAACAAGCAGTTAATCAAACACTGTAGAAACTGAGCATGTGGTCAATGTAAGCGCCTCTGACGAGACTGGCGTAATATTTGAAGACAGTGGCTCATATACAGTAGAATGACTTGATAAAATTGGTAGGGTGCGTTCAAATTGTTTTATGTCAATTTTTTTTTATCTGCAGGCGCGTTTATGATTTGTTAACTTCAAGATCTATTAGCTTGTTGAAGCACTTTATAACATCCTAGACTAAATTGCATAGAATCATGGTAACATACAGAAATAACTATTAGACGGAGTAACAGGCTTCATTATGAAGGAAAAACGTATCGGCGAAGGTCGCAAGTAAAACCAAGATAGTTTAGCGGTTAAAAACAGGTTGTAGCGGAAGATCATGAGTGGACTGATGAAAGCCTTGCACCACAAAAAAAATTGCTAATTAACGAAATATGAATATATGACTTTGGTTTCAGTCTCTTGTGGCGGGTATTCATTTCACTCGATCATAGGAATGCAAAGAATTGTTGTTAATTAAATTAGCCACCAACGTTCTTCCGTAAGCTCGAATCGTTCGCGCGTGTCGATTAACATAATTTATCTTTGTTTCTTTCGACTATACAATTACACAGTTTCCATCTATGAACATTCACATCTGTAACAACCATTAATATTTTAGGTTTCTGTAAAATTAGTGGACGATTTCATACGTGTAATTCGTCGGGCCGAAGCAATTTTGGCGCATCACCAACACCAGACGACTCGGGAAGAGCACCGGGTCCTTGTAGAAGCACTTGTTCAAGTAAGATATACCATTTGCTGAAGTATTTTAGGGTATTACACAAGTGTTTTTTAAATAAAATCTTAAATCATTGTGCCAGTATATTTTTTCTAACAATGAATTTTTATAACATGAACAGGTAGAATGCGAGTGCTTAGCGAGCATCCAGTCATTTATTTATCTGCTCAGTGGAACTCCACTACAGCATCAAGGGACGTTGCCCCATGCCGCACCCGGTACCCGAGAAAGGACAGCCACGAGCATTGCTGAATTAGCACTTGAGGTGCGTTTTCTTATAATATGTTACGGCAGGTTTTGCAAACGGTCTACAATAACCCACATAGTCTCTTTTTCAAAATAGCATGACTCATATTCTAGAAATTACAGGATGGTGTGGGAGACAAAACCGGGATCAAACTCTGTTGAAAGGCCGGTTTTGTCCATGTTACTAACGTACCAGTTTGTCTTCGTTTCCTTTTTCAATAATACTGTAGTTATTAAAGAAAACTTATATAATGTTTTCTTTAATAGTTAACAATAAAGGAAGTGTACGTTATATGCCAAACGTACACTTCGAGCGACATGCGTATGCCTAGCTTTGTCCGATTTATGAATCGTTCAGCTAAGTAGCTTGATACATAATTTTCTTGGTGGAACCGTTTTTTGATTGAAAGCGTAGATTCATAACGTGTCTATACTTCGTTGTTTCAGGTATTAGTAAACTGCCGTGTTTACGGTGGTCTAGCGTCGGGCGCTGCAGCTGCCGGAGTTCTAGTTAGTTTGACGGCAGCGTTTCGGTTTTCTCGACTAGTACAAGATCTCATTCCCAATATTGTTCCCGTCCTCTCGAGCTCGTTAGTATGGGCGTTGCCAACAACGCTGCCGGAGGCCAACAACTCTTTTGAACTGCTCGTACCTACAAGGTAGGCTGCCCATTAAAGCCACTACCTATCGTTATTTGAAGTAGACATTGCTTATTCTGAGCAATCTGTGTATGTTGAAGTTGCATATTGTAACTTTCGTCGACATCGCAATGCAGTTTGCTACGCCTTTTAGTCTAATGCTTCTAAAGTGCGTCGTACTATTCTCACCGTGAGCATGCCTTTGATGATTTGTTCAGTTGCGCATTTGCGTGCATTACCTATTGTCTTCTATTTAAGTGTTTCCTTATATCTATTTTTCAGGTGTGCGTTAGCCATTCAAAACATCTGCCTGCTGTCGTGGTCCGATTCAAACCTTCCGGCGGGCACCGTCGAGCAGCGGTGGGAACTCCGGGGAGGCCACTACGAGTCACTGCTATCTGCACTGTTGCCTTCCATTTATCAGCATTCTCCAAACGATTCGAGTAGTCAAAGTATCACGGCAACGAATAACAATTTGAATAGTAATAATTTGAATAACAATAACAACCACATGCAGCAACAGGGACAGCCTATGCAAGAGCATCTTAGCGAAAGCGGCACCATCAGTCACGGGGCCATTACCGCTCGGAAGTTAAAAGTAGCCGCGGCGTTACTCGAGGGGATCGCTGCAGCAGGCGGAACCGTGCGCACAAAGGCTTTACAAGCGACGGGCTGGAATCTTCTGTCGGAAACTTCTGCTGCCTTAATAGCTGACGGGCGTCAAGAACCGATCATTGCAGAAGCTGTGATCACCTTCTATAAAGCATGCGCCGAGGTTTGTATGATAATATATTGCGCTTTTTAGCTAATCGTCTTAAAAATGTCGAAACATTTTTGTAAGAAAAAATCTAGATCATTCGGCGCTGAACGTCATGCGTTTTGAATGAACTTGGACAATTGATAGGCGCATTTTCAACAGAATGTTGAGTATAATGGTTCTAGGATTCGAAACATCGGTTTACTGCTGGGCTTTCCAAGCATATTACTTTTGTACTAATAATGGTACGAAACATTAGTACATCGGACTATCATTCATCTGAAAATTAAACTCATCATTTTGACATTTGCTCCTTCGAAAAGTATTGTTGAGATACTTAGTTTATTTACTGCCAAACGTTTAGCTAGTAACCGTATTGACAAACCTATTGTTTTCGATAGGTAATGCCCCTTCAAAAACTGGACCACGTCCTTGATAGGTTGCTGGAATCCACAGCATCTTCGCCGGCATTGGTCTACGATACAACCGACCTGAAGCTTGAGCCATATCTCGAGGTAATTTTAGTGTCTTCTTTGGTTGATCGGTCTTTTTATTCGAATATATGATCTACAAAAAGCGGGATCATCCCATTCTCGCCTTTGGTGCACTTCATAAAGCCAACATTTTGTCTGGCTCACAGTTTATAGACTCGATATCGTTCAGATGTTTCTTGTTATGCCAAAGTTTTCAAAAATCAGTTTTTTCCAATGAATACCTCTAATACTTGGTGAACGTCATTGTGTCAAAAAATAACGAAAAACAATTTTTGTTGTTTCGGCACTCTAGGCTGTTTTGGATCTCCTTAAAGTCGTTCTTGGGAGTCCGTCAAAAGGAAATTTTTTCTTGGGCCGCATTCTTGACTTAGCTTTGAGATTATGGCCCAAAGCAAGCGCTAGCCAGAGTAGCAACCTTCGACCAGCCCTTATACAGGTGATTGAACTTTTTTTCGTTAAATAATATCATCTCTTCTATCCTGTCACCTTACATACAGACCATATAGTCTTAGCTTTCGATTCTTCCCCATATACGCAAAATGGTTTACTAGCCGGATAACGTTGAATCCAGTTAACTAAAGTTATAAGGTAAAGGATGTGTTGCAATCTATAGAATAATCTCCGTTTTTCTCAACGTAAGTGGTGGACAATTATACGTGCTTCTTTCCTGCTCTAATTACCTATTCGCAGCTTTTTCATGAGGTGGTTTGCCAACATTGGCGATATTTTTTTCCTGCAAACGTGGCTTCCTTGCTATCTGCATCGGGAAGCCCTGCCCTTGATTCCGAGGTCGAACATCGTGGAGAGCTCATTGCTATCATGAATGCATACGGGTGTTGTCTACTTCAACATAGCGACTTGGAAACATTCGGATTGGTAGGTACTTTCATTCTATACAAGCACTGATATTCGATAATTAGCGATGCGAGGTTAATTTTGAACGTACTTGCGAGTTTAAGCCTATAGATTTCAATTTGGTTGAATTTTGTATGAAGTTTTATTTTATTTTACTGGCGTATTATTTAATGAGACCGCTTATGGGTACTTAGCAAATGGTACCCGCAAATGGACTAACTGGTTCACTGTATTACCTTCGCAATATCTGTGTTTAGGTTTTGAGTAGTCTGGGTGAACTTCAGAGGAAGTGGAAGCTCTTCCAACGGCCAATCTTCCGAGTTGCTGCAGGCGAAAATGAGTGCGGACTACTAGGGCAATTTATTGGAGTACTCCTGAGGTGTCTTTTACAAAGGAGCCACGATCTTCTTCGAGAGGAAATGCTTCACCTCGTTTTCGCAATGGCTAGCACTATGCCCTTCGATGTTTTTCACCAGGTAAATTAACTTGAGGCATTCGTCAGCTAAAAACTTTTAAACTGAGTCATACTGAACTTTTATTTGTTACTATGCGTTGCACTGCATGAATACGCCATGGCGATCCATTCACTTTCAGCTACGGTTACAGGCAAATGAGCTTTGACGCGGGCACTGCTGCGAAAAGGTCTTCCTTTCGATTGTATTAGGTTCATTTAGGTTGCGCATATCTTTCATGCAAACTGAACGATGCGATAGTAGTATATGTTTGATGTAAACTCAATGGAAATATCTTTCATTTTAGGGTTACCTTCCCCAGTTCCTGATGCAGATCGAAAGCCTTGACAACTATCAACGGGAGCAGCTTGTGCGAGGATTTCACCTACAAAGTGTAGGCGTTTACCATCTCTGTCTATTAATTGGCATGAATATTTTATGATCATTTGATCGATACGAGTGACGCCACACTTATCTGATCTGTTGGAAATCAGCTATAGATCGTTACTGCAAAAATATACAGAGCAAAATTCGTATGAAGTCGGCGTACAATATAGCTAGTACATACGATGCTTAGAGAGGTGGACTTCAGCTTGTCATAACGTAATATAACCAGACAGCTTGAACTGACCGGCCAGCTCTATCGATTAGTGATTCGTCTCGCAGATTGCGGAGATAGCGGAACAAAATCGGGGGCTTTGGGTGTAAGTTCTGAAGTTTATTTTCCATCAACGCTAATTTATAAGGTAATGTGGTGTATTTTTCCGTTTCAGGACCTTCCATCATTTGTCGAAAACCTAAACAGCTTCCTTACGGATATCCGGTACTATGTTGTGTCCACCCAAACTCTGCCAGCTGCTTCCGTGGTGTTTTAAGAAAATACGCCATGCAATTTTGCATGAATCGGTTCTGCCCTAGTCCCAAACAACGTTATATGGCAGTTAAACAATACCCGGCGAGTAATTATGGAGGATTGGTATTCAACGCTGAAGTTATTACACGTTCGTAACGTTGGCGTCAGGTACACATAGTCTGTTTTGGATTAGAAGAAAGAAGGCCAAGAACTAACGAATATGTAAATTTCCGAACCAGAGTACATGATATAGCATCAAAATCTAGACCGCACCGATGTGAGCAGGAATAAGACATCCTTGTGCATTTTTACGTCTATCAACGTAAGTTGATATAGCGGATTTCGTAATCATATCGTCGAAATAGTTAACACCAGTTTGATTCTGGTAATAGTTATTCATGTACATGAAGTTCTAGTCTTATTGGTAGTGCGTCTATTGATTATGAATACTGTAATAAGTATGCTATTTTATTAGTTTAACTGGTTTAATATTTATAATTACTAGATGTGACTAGGTGGTGTTAATAGAGAATGTGTATGCGTGCACGGATGTTGTATGTTTTGTGGCATTCTCACTAGCACGTGACTGCCAAATATGAGAGGATCATGGATGGGTACTTGAAAACATGGACCGCTCGTGAGGAAACCGGAACTATTGCAGTAGAGTCTGTATATATTATTAACGCTGTGTAAAAAAAGGGACAAAAAGAGACAACGAGGGATTTTATTCAGAATCATTTCCAGTTCTTATTAGTACATTTATAATCCGCAAATGAAAGTAAAGACTCTGTGCAGAATACATGATGATTATATAGCGACGATACACAATAGGAGCTGCAATGATTACTTAGATTACTCATCTGATAACTACAATGATAATGTAATATTAACGGAAGCTTAAATGCGATAGATACTTAATACGCTATAGACAGTATATATTCATAGGGTATACAAATGTATCTATCGGACTAGACCTTGCGCTTTAGGAAATCAGCAGTAGTGGAAGTTGGTATTCGTGGCCACTGGATGACGGTGTACAGGTTCATGGACAAAGGCATTATTAGTCAGTCAAATGATAAAATGCTTTTACCGCCGTAACACTGGTACAGCTGTTATTAACAGCTCTCTTATTCTCTGCAATGTTATGTGCTTAAGCTTAACATTGCAAACTTGGACGGACATACAATATGTTTGTTAGAAATAAAAAACACTAACTACAACGTAAAAGCACCGCTCTGATTTTCACGATGAAGACAGGGCTGGCCATTTGTAAACGTTATTACGAAGTAAGATAAAATGCATCGATATTTGATTCAAATTTGAAATAAGCAAAATTTGATTCACTTGTAAAATTTAGTCTGCGCGTAGATTATGTACGTCTGTTTATGGCTATGTAAGCCTACATTATGGTGAAAACTGGAGTACAAAGGCAAACCGGTAACTTTAATTGTCCATTGTGCTTTGAGCTGAGCTTAAGTTATGAGTGACTATATAAAAGACAATGGAAATTTAGGCTGATTTTCATGCTGGTTAATTTATTAAATTTTACATACAGCAAGCTTTACAATTACATTGCTTAAGAAATCTTAATAAAAACAACATTGAAGCGTTGCAGAATTTAATACGGAATTAATACCAAATTTGAAGTTTATTCATAGTGGCAATGCTATTAATGGTAGTAACATAAATCTTTCCATTATAATTTATCTAGCGCAAAGGCACTGTTGTTGTTGTTTGTTGTCATAAAAGGTACGTGAAAAGGCAGATTGGTAGGAAACATAAATTCAGCTCTACCGCTTAGCTTCCCATTTCGATAAAACAAAATAGGAGAAGATCACAGAAAAATATTCAGTCAGTGACGTGCAGATGTTAGCATAAGTGAGATGTTTGTTATATGATTCAGGCTATAATTGAGGCTAAATAATAAAATTAAAAAAAAGAGATTGCTTTAAACAGGAATCAGATCAGAAGCGGGTCCAGGACTCATGCTCCGTCCGCACACAAATAAGCAAAACGTTAAAGCCTATTCGATCGCAGGGTTCAGATAAAAACCTTCACGACACGGTGAAATTCTAAATCGATTAAAATGATGAACGGCGTGGTAGCTGGAAACGTTCCCAAGGGATTGGTCGTATATTTTTAACGATGTCAAATGCCCAAAGATTAAGATCTAATATTTCATCTCTTACGATGAACTTGGCTATGGGTTTTTTTTACATGCGCCGATATCATTATTATACAATAGACGTATTTGTGCAACCGAGAAGACCTACTACCGGAAGAGAACACGAGGCGTTGAATCGATTTGTGTCCGGTGATCTTAGCGTTATTCGCACGAGTTATGATAACGCAATCGTGGTAAACATAGATTTTCTACTTTACCGTCGTATGGTATTGCGGGTTAACGTAGCATCTTAAAGAAACGCGTCACTTGTATGAATGACTGATCATATGTTAGCTACTTACGAATCGATTTTCCGCCCCAGTTTTTACGTATTAAAATCGCATATCAGAAAATGCAACAAGATTATCTTTTTTTGATAACACAAGCACTGCAGAATAGATATTTCATCAGTGGTTAACAATCTATCATAAACAGCTCATTACGCAGGTCAGGTACGAACGGGAGTAAAGACGTATGATATTCAGCATGAATATATGTTGATAACAGGGTTAGGTTGTTGGTTCAGTTTATATTTGTGGCCAGTATAAAGTTACGCGGTAAGTAGTACATAACAATAGATCAATTATTGTTCACTGTGGCCATACAAAATTATCTGTAAAGAGACACAATTGCAGACGATTCCTGAAATCGACATGTGTACAGGTTATAAAAGCATTCGTGAAAACATGCCTGTTATTTTTCTGTTACGTTATGTATAGAAACAGTAACGGAGAACTGTGGCTCAATTAGTAATGCCAATATGATAGTAACTGGGTTTGATTTCTGATGCGAAGCAAATAAATAAATGTTGTCATTTTTGTGATTAACGGTGTTAATTGTGTTTTTGTCAGCCTTCTGAATGTAATTAAAATTAGCTAATGTGGTGCAGCAGTGTTTTTCATCATAAGATTTTTCAGAGTTATTTTCGGCAAAAAAATAATGCTTTGTATGGCCTTTTAATTTACTTGGTGTGTTGACTGCAGGGTACAGTATAACAAATTTAATAATTTAATGAAATGAACTCCCATGAACCTGAGGCCAGCTGATATTTTATCTGTCAATCGCACCAATCGTATATTAAACAGTATTTACGAGACTTAAGCCAGTAAATTTAAAGGGCTCTCCCTCGTTGTTACGATTGAAGGAAACCGTTTCAGACCTTCAGTAGAGAAATTATGTTCGTCAGTCCCTTCGTTTACGCCTTTCGGCTTATATTGTCACCCAAGAAAAGGCTGTTCTGTATATAGAGTCAAAACCTCTATAGTTGGGCGACTCAAGCTTTCACAGAAGACTTTGTTAGTCTTCCTTGATTCTCGATTAGTCCCTACAGTGCTGCACTAATAATCTGAACCTTGAAGCCTCTAATCTCAGTGCATATCTATTGCCTTAACTGCCTGGAGCCACACTTCCTCAGAGCGCACATCTGTTGAATCTAACCTCCACCCTTCATAGTGGATTTGATGAAAGGCAATGTAGTCCTAGCTCACTTGTAAATACGAGATTAAAACTGCACAGGCACGTCCTGTTTGCTTTTGACGGATGCAATAAAAAAATAGGACTTACTGATAACCGAAACCACCTAAACGGTTCAACATTATGTGGGTGCTAGATAGATAAATTTCACTACTGGTTCTGTGAGCTATCCGGTTAACACAAATCTAAAAAACCAGAACGGTCCCATATTAAAGTAGTAACCTCCTATAAATACTTGCGCCGTTATATAGAGCGACCTTTCCGCTAAATTATGCTTAGACTTTAGAATAAACGTTCATATATTCTAATGTTGTTTATGCTGTTTTTAATTTGGTAACTAATAAGTCTTCTCAGATTTAAATAGTGTTCTCTATCTTTATTGTGTCTTCGGTAGGATTTTAATTATAATCAAGCGTATATTGGTAGCGATATAACAAGAACTATTTCAATGTACATTGTTAAAAAAAATGCACGCGGGAAAACGTGACAATGAGGTTTTTCGTGTAAAGAAGTCATGTCAAGCATTTCGGCCCTAGAAGCGTTCAGCTATGCTTTTGATTCTATTATTTTCATGTGACTTGATCGGTCAGCGTTTTGTTTACACAGTCAATCAACAATAAACTTAACAATGGTGTCAGTACTAATTTCTTCTTAACAAGCCTATGAAGCCACTTTGATCAAGCTAAGGCATGACACGGTGATGGGGCGCAGCTCTCATAATTTTCATGTAGCGGTTGTTAATAATATAATCATGAATTTGTAATTGTATAAAATTGTAAATGGTAATCCGTACAAAAGTTCTCGGATACAGTAAAATCGCCACCAGGTTTTGCGCTTATTAGTTATTATCGAAGAGATCGAATCAATGAAGGTCAAAAAATACGAGGGCCAACAGTGTCAATCAAGACGGCTTAGTGAAAGCGAAAAACATTCTGTACTTTCTTCGTCGTCGTTGTTAAATTGAACGTGGGCTCTTGATTAGCAGAGGCGGAAATTCAGCCCGGCAGCCCAGTTTCATAGGTCCTGGGTATGTCGCATACGCACGATCTTGTTGAAGAAAAATCAGGGAAGCGTTGTAAAGCGTATCTGAAACGAGGTATACAGTCGTACTATTATGGTCCTGCATTACCTGTGAGAAGTTGGTAAGATTTACAGGATCGTAACTATCTTGACGCAGAATGTAGTGCGTATTATTAAGAACTTCATTCATAAACAAGTTGATTCTATCGATCTGCATGCCAACTAAGACTGTACCCAGAATGTACAGGACAGCGGCACGAACCAGCATTTCGCTGGGTATTTGAGATGAAAGGAGCACTCGAATCATTACTGTTAACCGAGCCGTGGTGCCTGTATACGCTTGAATAGCAAGCAACGTACAAATCTGGCAAGGGCTGTAGGATAACATAGGCGGAGAGCACAGTGAATTAACACAGCGAAGATAAAACTCAACGAGGAGGTAATAGCAGATCAGTGTTTTGGTGAAAATAACTATTGTATAGTCGATTATATATTCACATTGTATTCGATTAGTTCATTTTGCCGGTTAACATGACGTCCGAAATGTGTATACATTACAAACGTATGTCAGTTATACTGGTACGGACATTCATGCATCCACTCTCTAGCGCTCTTGGGTCGATGCGTTTCTTCTGCATGACACGAACACATGTCTAGTACACATTTGGCTGTTTAACATAATTGGCTTGCCACTGCTCGCAGCCCATTGAATTGGCACTTTGCTATTGATTTTTAGCTTTGGCAACAGATGATCTTTATGCAAGTGTGTATGAATAGTCGACGAATGATCTGGCACAGCTGCAATTGTCCTAACAGCAGACTACAGGCCATTACTATGTATGAAAATAAATTTGTTTTTTGTACCCTATAGTAAACAGGAATGAGAGTACGAGCTGTGTGCTTATAAATAAAAATAAGCGGCAACAACGATATAGGGAATGTCGTTTACACGCCTTCCTCTACCCCCATAATGCATACAAAAGAGAGAGATAGGTACATACCTATCTCACTTAGCAACTGCGCGTTCTTTGCCGCCGTAGCGGAGCAGTATCTGTCACCGCCTAGAGCACGCTGTCGACTGCTTGGCATCTTTGGCTGGCACCACTGCGATGGAGCGTTAGAAAACAAATGGTCGACTAACTTAGAACTTTAAGTGTCAGAATTCTAGATAGCGGAGTCTAAGTTTTATATATTATTAAAGTTGCAGAATTAGAGTTGTGGGAACGTAAGGAAGATCGGTGGGAAGAAGAGCTAAAAAGACATGGCTTCTTCCTCAATAAAAGAGACCAATTTGAAGGGGGTTTCTCTCTCTTGATTGATTGAACCATGACACGTTAGCAGTTATAAGAAGTCGCATAGCAAAAGTCAGCATTTTTCCTCATATACGTAAGCAAGGAGTTTACATCAGTCAGAATCACATTATCAAAGATGAATTTACCTTTTTTTTTTTAATTTAAAGACGATTTGATGTCTTTATTTTTCATACTCGTTCAATTCCTTTTCTTTCCTTTTTTTTTTTACTATAACCGATACGAACCCACTTTCGAAATAAATCCAGTTCATTGTCGATGCCTGCGACAGTGTTGCCAATCTTTTACTTCGATAGCGAATCTCAGTCCGATGGCAACACTAGAGATTTGATGTTCCATAGAGAAAGAATTTAATTGATCCCCGATCCACGATGCAGACACCTACTTATTGTAGGTTTGCTCGGCTATGCAATTCAGGTTAAATAACTAACGATCACTCTCCTAAAATTTTTATTTAGTTCTTCTCGTTTTGCGATCTCTTCTATTAAGCCAATTTCGCTTCGCTAGAGTCGCTTATTGTTACTTTTTGCATTGCTTGCCAAGTACTCCTTCATAGATAGGGGAGCATTTAGTTTGCATAGATCAGGATGAAGCAATTTCAGCAGTACGTACCGCGACTGTACGCGTGTGTACAAAGTGTCTGTTTGTTGATAGTGAGTCAGGGCGAGAACGATAAGAGCGAATTTGCAATTGACGGATTTGGGTTTGTGGGGCTGCTTTCTTAACAATAATAGCATAACGTTTGAAATCATCAACGAGGAGCTCATGGACTATTCTATGAAGTATTATATCTTTGAATTTGACACCCCCTACACACACAAGAAACAGGCACCCTAGAAACTCGAAAGACACTGTTACAGAACAAATGATTTATTACTTTATTCTACCGTAATGGTGAGATTTAACAGAAGTGGTCAACTCCAAACCCAGTAATGTTGTCAGGGCTGGTTTATTGTTGTCGGCATTGGATTTAATATTCCTTGAAAAGTAATGGCGGTGCTATTTTTGGATGCTATCAATACAACACCGTTACTATAAGATCTTTGAAATACCAGGAACTAGTTCAACTAAGAACCACACCGTTTTTTCTAAAGGGTATCAGAAGGCTTAGAGACCTTCTAACAAAGACTTTCGATATGAGCTCTTTTGTCTTCTCAAATATACTTATATATATATATATATAAATTTAATATGCCCTTCATTATTTGCTACGCAGAGAGTTCGACACCACCTTGCTCATATCACCAAGCAGGAAATTCAGTCGGCATAAGATTCGACAAGAAAAGATATGAACTTTTGCTAAAGCTACTGCCTATGCTAGGAGCTGACAACCTTACCACCATGGTTCGATCGTTGTCCTATGAACAGGCTCTTTCTTACTAGATAACGTTTAGAAACTTCGAATATAACCTAATGATATCTTTCAATCAAGGTTTAAATAATGGGCTAGAATTATGCAGAATACTTTATATGCATAGAATGGTAATGATCAACCTTTGCTTATGCAAAATTTAGCCTAGTACCTTTTATTATAGTGTGATTATTAAATATTGCTATCTTTGTCGCATCAATAAATTACTTAAATCGAATGAGGTCATAAAAGTTTATTTATAAATACTACATAGTGTGTGTGCATTGTATTCATCTATAGTTGTTAGAAAACGTTTACATAAAGCCCTATAATAAATAAGCACGTCCTAACAAATAAATCTATGACGCACACATCGCTTCTTACATTGTTCACAATTCATACTACCTAAACCGAACTAATATCAGCTTCTTCGTGCAGTTCATAGGTACTTATATATTTACCTGTACTCGTTCAAATTCTTCGGTAACCATATAATATTTGTAATACAACAAAAACAACCTAAAAATTTTCCCACCAAAACATAATACTACTCCTGTAGCAAAATTTGCGATATCTTTGTGTTGGTTAAGCGAAAAAAAATTTCAGACAATAGTATAAACAGACGTTTTTAGACGGATTTTTGCACAGCTTAAGGCGTCTGCTAAAATCGACCATTGC